CTACACAGAGAAACCCTGTTTCGAAAAACCAAAAAAAAAAAAAAAAAAAAAAAAAAAAAAAAAGACAGTCTAGGGTTGGTAATGCAAGTTAGAATAGAAAGTGAATTAGGTAAGGCACTTTGGACTCACCAAGATTGGATAGATAATGGAGTATTTTCTCTGAATTTGTCAAATGCTAATGGACCAGACATAATGTAATTCTTGCCTCTCTATATATTTGTATATAGTTATTGTACTTATTGTATATAGTTTTCCTATGTTAGACAAAAAAACCTTTGCTTGCTTTTCGTTTAGATTTTTTTTTAAAGCAGAAATAATGTATGATATTTCGTTTGTTTTCTGACATACTAAGCTTGCCTGGAGATCAGAGGGTCGATCTAGCCTCTACTTAACCATAGAAGTCAGGCAATGGTGGCACACACCTTTAATCCCAGCACTTGGGAAGAGGGAGCAGGAAGATCAGGAGTTCAAGACCACCCCAGGCTACACCAGTCTAAAAGAGAAACAGAGCCAGGTGGCGTTGGTACACGCCTTTAATCCCAGCACTAGGGCGGTAGACACAGGAATATAAGGTGAGTGGAGACAAGATCTGGGCCTTTTAGGTATGAGGATTCAGAGAGATCACTGTTGGCTGCTCCTTTGCTTCTCATTTCTTCAGATTATTAACAGGGTATTTGACTCCTGGTTTTTATTGATAAAACTAAATAGGATCACGCTTCAGGGAGGAGCTTGATCCTGCCCCAATTTTGTATGCTATAAATTATTGACACCATGGGAGGCCTTACCCTTTCTGAGGAGTGGAATGGGCTGGGGTGTAGATAGGAGGTGGGGGAAGGGAATAAGAGGAGAGGAGGGAGGGAAAACTGTGGTTGGTATGTAAAATATTTTTTTTTTTTCGAGACAGGGTTTCTCTCTGTAGCTTTGCGCCTTTCCTGGAACTCACTTGGTAGCCCAGGCTGGCCTCGAACTCACAGAGATCCGCCTGGCTCTGCCTCCCGAGTGCTGGGATTAAAGGCGGGTGCCACCACCGCCCGGCCTCTTATCCTGTTTTAAAGACACATTCTGGACTGACAGCTGGAGAGCCTGCATGGGACCAAAGTAGGCACTCTGAATGTAGGTGACAATGGTGTGGACAGATCTGTTTGTGGGGCCCCTGGCAATGGGACCAGGACCTATCCTGCATACATGAATTGGCTTTTTAGAGCCCATTCCCCATGGTGGGATGCCTTACTCAACCTTGATCGGGGGTGATTAGTCCTGTCTCAACTTGGTATACCAGCCTGTGTTGACTACCCAAGGGAGGCCTTACTCCCTATGAGAAGTGAATGGGGTGTGGGATTGGGGGAAGTAAGGGGCAAATGACAGAGGGGAGGGAGGAGGAACAGTGGTTGTTATGTAAAATGGGGGAAAAAAGTGAAAATTTAAAAAAAGACATTCTGCCATACCAGGTTTATAGTTTTATTAAATGATTTAAAAAAAACAACAACCCTGTTACAGAAATAGATTAAACTTAACCCATCACAGATTTAAAATTGATTGACCGACTCTCTCACAAAGAAAATCTAATCAACTGTGGGTGAGTGGTGGCCTGAATTTCATCACAAACCCAAACCGTAGACAACATTGCAATCCAAGTTTGCCAATCTGATGCAAAGTCAGAATGTCTGCCAGTGTCTAAGGGCCCAGCAGAAAGAAATCAAGTTCAACACTCAATTGGCATGAGCGACCCTGTCCAAAAGGGTGGGAGCCTGTCTGCACAGTGACCCAACCTGCATTTGCTGATTTCATTCTAAGAGGCAGTCCTTTTTCAGATGATCCCCAAGGCACCTGCAGATGGGAAGGTGGACAACATCAGAGAAGGCTTTCACTCCACAATCCAAGTCCCCAGTGAGTCTTCTGCAGAGTCAGGTCATCTGTCATTGATGTAGTCTCAAGGCTCTAGGGTGGAGTCCCTCAGGAGAGGGAGTCTGTTTGGTACTCAGGTGGGCCCAAGACACGCGGGTTTCTCTGCTCTGCTCAGGTCCAGCATGCTTCCTTCCATCCAGTGAAGTACTGGGAGATAAAGGGCGGGGGCGCCTGGTTCCTTGGCCACTTGGCCTGGGTCTTGAGAGAGGAAGAGGAGAGGAGAGGGAAAGGGAGGAGAGGGGAGGGAAGGAGGAGAGAGGAGGAAAAGAGAGGAGGTGGGCACTAGTCTAGGGCCATGGAGGAGTCAGCATGGAGCTAGGTCTATCTCGGCATCCAGGCCTGCACAGCCAAGATGTAATTGACTGTGTAAAGCGCCCAGTGCAGCGCGGCCCCAGCATGGGACAGCTGCCATGTGAGCCAGGCGCGCTGCGATGCACTGGGCTCCCTGCTGCTGGAGGGCACACGCAGGAAGGCCCCTCCAGGGACCTGCAGGTTTTCCAGGACCACCTCCAAGGCACCCACGTGGGAGATGACTCTGGACAGCGGTGAGAGCGACCTGGATGAGCGGGCTTCTGGAGAATGTTGTCTGTGCCTCTTGAGAGAGTTGTGTGGAGCCGCGAGGGGGTCTCTGCGATGCCTGCGCCGCCGGCCAGTCCGCCCGGTTGATCTAGCGTGGGCCCTTCTGTCCTTGACAGGCTGTTTTGAGTGCCGGGAATCTCTTGCCAGGTGTTGTCTCGCTCTGGTAGACTCAGGCTTGTCCCTTCCTCTCTTTCTGGTGGGAGGTGGGCTCGCACTCCTCTTCTCTTCAAGGCGGGAGCCACCCGAGCTATGCCGAGATCCCTTCCGCCTGGAGTTCTTGGCCTCCCTACGACTCTGCCTGCTGCTCCCTTGTCTCACGGGAGACGCCTCCGGGGAGCTCTTACCGCTGTTTCCCCCACTTTCCGAAGGCGAAGGCTCTTCATCTTCTCCCTTCTGGTCTACAGGCTGCTTTCTCTTGGGTGAAGGGCTGAGCTCCTCGGAATTCACAGATCCAGCCTTCCCGACTTCTGTGTTAGCCATGTCTGTCAGCGCCCAGAGCCTCACCTCTGCCTCAGTCTTCCTGTGAGGTCTCTGGGAAGTGATTCTGACTTCAGAGCTGACTGGCTTTAAGGACTGACTCTCTGCAGAGTTTTCCCAGGAGCTTCGGCCACACCCACCAACAGGCCACGCCTCCAGGAAGGCGCTAAATTCCATTGAACAGGATTATGGGTTAGATGTTCTTTGTTTTTTCAAAAAGTTATTACATTGTTTAAAAAATTATTTTACGAGCCGGGCGTGGCGGCGCACACCTTTAATCCCAGAACTCGGGAGGCAGAGCCAGGCGGATCTCTGTGAGTTCAAGGCCAGCCTGGGCTACCAAGTGAGTCCCAGGAAAGGCACAAAGCGACACAGAGAAACCCTGTCTCGAAAAACCAAAAAAA